TTTTACTTTTAGGGCGTGTTCGGCACAGAGCTTTTGGAAGTGTTTGAGAAAACGCTATGCTTTGAACAGAAAGTCTCGTTCGGCACTACAAGCTTCTAGCGTTTAGTTTAAACAAAACGTTCTAAATCCAAATGCTACATGTAGCGTTTAACAAAACGCTACAAGCTACCCGCTAATTTTGCCGAACACGCCCTTAATATAAAAACAACAAAATATTTTTATTTTAACACAAAATAACAACCATTATTATTAATTTATATATTTCAGTAGCTTTTGCTGATGTCAATTTTTTTTTTGGTTGACATATGCTAACGAGCAAGGTCTAAAACATAAATAACACCACATATAGGTGTTTACGGCCTAGAGTTAACTCCAAATGGAGTTTACGTCCAAAGATACACTCCAAAAGAGTGTTCACGGTCCAAAAAACAAAGCAAGGAAGGAGTTCACGGCCATGGAAGCTTCCAAAAATGTGTTTACGGACAAAGTGAAAAGGAAACATGTGTTCACAACCAAACAAATCCGTAAACACCCTCTTATTGGGCCAAAAATCCAATAATAGTTCATTAATGAACCGTAAACCCAAGCCAAGGCCCAATTCCAATCCGTAAACACCCCTTATATATGTGTTTACACCATGACTCAATTCATTTCACTCATTTTCATCCGTAAACACTCCAAAGACTCTCTCAATCTTCATCCGTGAACAGTCCCAAATCCTTTCAATCTTCAAGTGTTTACACCCCAGGATCTTCAAATCTTCAACCAATTTACCAAGAACACTCATGTCCACCTTCAAATCTTCATATCATCTTCAAATATTCATATGGTCCGTAAACCCATTTTCAACCGTAAACTCCAATTCCAACATTTCCCATTTAATTTACAAATCAACTGTAAGTCTTCCCTATAATTAAATTTATTATTTAACCTTTATTTAAATTAATATTCTTATTAATTTAACTGCGACGCCAAATATAATTATTTTAGGGTAACGTTATTAGCGCATACGCTTACCCGGGGATCGTCTCTACCACTCGCTACTTCCAAGTTAACGCACATTTAAGGTGAGTTCATACCCCTACGTTTTCAATATTTTTCCATGTTTTTAGGGGGGGAATACAAGTACAACACAATTAAATTTTTGTAAGCATTCAAACGATTTCAAACGTTTTCAACGATTTCAATGGTGACAAACAATTTCAAATGACTATAAACTATTTCAAACAGTTGCAACCATCGTTCTTACAATAACATACTTTTATATATAAATATTGTTATTTATATAAACACGAGTACAATCCTTTAATCCTTTGTAATATGCTGAGCAAAGGAAAACTTTTAGAATAATCACATTTCCAATGGATCATTTTTATAAACTATAATAGGTATAGTTTATGGAACAATTACAATATCAATGCACGGACATAGATACAATGCGAATAAACATATAAACGATAATAGGTATAGTTTATGGAACAATTACATTATCAATGCACGAAACATAGATACAATGCAAATAAACATATAAACTATAATATGTATAGTTTATAGATCTTACAAACAGTCATTTAAATTCAAAGGATTCATTTTATTCTACACTTAATCGTCAGTATAGCATTTTGTGAGTGAGCATCTTCGCGTACCTACCTAAGTACTAACAAAAGTCCTGAGATTATAACCAGAGTCTCCTGGAGGGAGAGCATGAGTTTGTATATAGATCTATACGGGATTGACAATCCCGCACCGCAACTATTAGCTATAGTTAGGCCGGTAGGCTTGGGTGACAAAGTCATTTCGATTCCGACGCCTGAACACCGTTGTTCAAGTATGGTTATAACAACTCATAAATTTGGTACTAAATAATACGATTAATGTATGAATGGTAAACAACTTCACTTAGTTTTATTTTAAATAAAACTACAACAATGTATAAAACTACAACAAGGTATCTTTACAAATAGCTGGTGTTACCAGGAAATTTCAATTTACAGATTCTTTATCCATATACATATGCATCATACTATTTTGAAATACAAAAAAACATCTTTACAAAAAAATATAGGGTTTCATACTGAACAATACTATACATTACTGGTGGTAGCCAGGGTTTTTATACAAAACAATACTATACATTACTGGTGGTAGCCTAAATTTTCGTACAGAACAATACTATACATTACTGGTGGTAACCAGGGTTTTCATATAGAACAATACTATACATTACTGGTGGTAGCCAGGGTTTTCATACAGATTACATACAAAGGTTTTCATACAATATATTTCTTTACATAACTATTGGTCGTATCCAGGGTGTTTTAAGACGTAAAGTTAGCAACTTTACTCCCATGCATGACTTAATGGGACCCAAAACTTAAAGAGAACCATAATAAGGATCCTAACACATGCATGGACCAATATAACTCATAAAGATTGCATTTTTTATGGACAAGAGACCTCAAAGGTGCTAAGATCTAACATCTATGGCTTCTGGAGTAGACCATACTCTCAAATATGGCTTAAAGGACCCAAAAATGCACAAATAACACCTTAAATTGGATCTAGCATAAGGAACCATCAAGTTGAGAGCTTTATACCTCAATTAGCTTGCAAAGATGATGATGATTCTGGATCTACAAGCTCAACCCACTCCAAAGCAATCTCTAAGTGTTATTCTTCCTTCAATTTACCAAAAACACCACCAAAACTCACTTCCAAGCTCAAATCTCACAAATGGCAATTAGGGTTTCGATCTTAGGGTATAAAGAGATGAAGGTTGTTCATAAGGAGGTCCAAGGGTGTCTTAAGTTGTTTAAATAGGGAACAAACTAGGGGTGAGCATGATGCGGTTCGGTGCGGTTTTTGGACAAAACCGAACCGCAAACAGCAACTTGTGGTTATTTATATTGAAAACACGAGACTTGTGGTTTTTATTTGGTGTGGTTTTGCGGTTATTTCGGTTCGGTTTCGATTTTTAACCGAAAAGCGAGTTGGTTCGGTTTTGCGGTTAAAATAATATGATTTTTCATGTCCAAATCGGATTTTTGTTGAATTTCATTTAAAATAGTGCAGAATTTTATTGCCTTTTAATTATTTCGAGACTTTTGTTGCAACTTATCACCATATTTGTCCATTTTATTTTTGTTAGAGGCTTCAAAAAATCACATTGTCCCGAAAGGGATGCCACAAAGTATGATAAGCCTCAACATGGTTTCTTTTATATAGGCATAACACAAATATATCTCTTAGTACATCACGATATGGGATAACTTCTTGAATCTCATATGTATATTTTTATCACTATAAAAACAATGAAGCAAAATCCCATATGCATGAACTAAACAGAAAACAACAACAATACATGATTAATACTTATCTAAAATTTTAAAGGAACAATAAATAAATAGTTGATTAATACTTATGTAGAAATTTAAAGTAGTAATAACACAACTTTGTAATATATATATATATTATATATATATATATATATATATATATATATGTGTGTGTGTGTGTGTGGTGTGTGTGGTGTGTGCGATTTGATTTTTTGCGGTTTTTGTAAAACTAAAAACCGCACCGCATCGAAAATTTACGGTTTTTGCAAAATTTAAAACCGCACCATCGGTTTTCATTTCGGTTTCGGTTAATACGGTTTTCTAGGTTTTTTTGGTTTGCGGTTCGGTTTTTGCTCACCCCTAGCACAAACCCTAAAAATTAGGGTTTGCCCCTACATTACGTACGCCCTGCGTACGCCCAACGTACATGGGTGCTTCCGCGATCCAACTTTCGAATCAGTAGGCTCAGCGTACTCATAGAGTACGCCCCGCATACTCGGCTAGGGACTAAAATGAAAGAATTTCGCAAAAAGGGTTATAAAAGGAACATACCACTAAACTCGAATGTTACAAATATACCCTTAATTAGTTATAAAAAACATATTATTCTAAATGTTATTTTATATATTTCATCTAACTTATCAACTAGTTTTACCAAACATCATTTTTTGTCAGCTATCATATAAGTTAGCAGCTAGTGGCGGATGCAAAACGTTTTAGTAGTAGTGACACTTATAAAATAGTAGTGACACTAATTTTTAAAGACGTTGCACCTTAATAGAAAAAAAATTACATTTGCGGGCTGCAACGGAGTAGTGGCCCAGGACCCCCCTAGAATCACTTAGGTCCGCCACTGCTAACAGCTAGCTTTTTAGCTACCAACTAGTTTTTTCGGCTATTAACTAGTTTTTTCAGCTTTCAACTAGCTTTTCAGTTAGTATGCCAAACATAGTTTTAAAGCCATAACTTATATAATTCTCCTTTTTTAATAGCACGTTGTTAAGTTCTAATGATATCTTGCCGTTTATCGAAAGATGGATAAATTTTACTACGAGACTCGATATATTAAAGTAATTGTTTGTGTTTGTAATGAATTCACTTAAGATACATGTTCTCTTTCAAAAAAATATAAGAGATACAATCTGAACATGCATGCAACAACCTCAACTCCCCAATAGTGCATCTTTTGTAAATGGTCTAAAATCGACTTGAAGATGCTTGGTGAACATTGTGCTCACCATAAATGATGCGACATAAGTTGAAAGCTCCTGCTGCTACCTACAAACTTTTAGTTTAGGAGATCAAAAGTTGTCACTAGATTTGGGGAATAGCCCTTTTTCTTATGTCATATAAAATACACAAAATGGTATCAAACTACATGATCATAAACTATTAGAAAATGCAGACACTTGTCATTGACATAAATTTCGTCAATAGAGTAATAACATGGTTATCATCAAATGTTTTTCTAATAACCTTAATCAATAAACTTGATATCTCAACTTTGATATGGATATAGCCAAGTGACTAATCTTATTAGATGGTGGGATGTTGCCACCCCTTTAAAAAACCTAACTAGATGGTGACAAATAATGTCAACAATCAGTCATTGTAACAATTTATTACTAAATGTTTGCATGAATTAAGAACTGGTTTAGTGGTTAGTCATGTCTGCACAACATTTCTATACAAAAGATACCTTATAGTGGCCATCAAATTACGACCAACTAGAAATGAAATGATACTGTAGACCTCCATTTTCCCATGAAGTAGGTGAAGTACAGACATCATAAGGGCTAAAGTACAAGTGATCCCACTAATAATAAAAAGACCACCAAATCTATCAAGCTTCAAGGCCTGGGGCATTGTAGAATTTCGGGGCAGAACAGATAATCGGTTTTCAAACCATCTGTTTTCCACACTTTCTAGAGTTTTATCTAATCTTATTTTGGCAATTACTCTTGACACGTCTTCAACCAACGGTGAACCTTTTTGGAAGATCTGAATGAGATAAGGTAAGCATGTCAGTCTAGAGTCTAGACTATCATAGGTATATGACAATATTAATTAAACAAACTACATATGGGCTATGAGAAATGTAAATTTTTGACTTGGCAAATATATATGTTTAACTACTTGTTATATATCTAAAGCACTTTTTGTTATTGATGTTATTGCCAACGATTATTAATCAAAGTCAATGCTAACAATTGTTTTTGGAGTATTTCATACTAAGTGATCACTGTTACTTGATAGTGGTAAAAGAAGTTAAGTGTCTATTGTGGTAATATCCTGCAAAATTATTTTTGGTAACCCGTGCATAGGAAGAAAATAAATTTCATGGAAAATGATTACACGATCCTTCTGTATGGCCAGCCAAAACCAACAAACACTTGGTTTTCTATGGAAACTTTGCCTTCCATATCCAAAGATCTATTTTCATGGCTCAAACTCATTACATGAAAGAATAACCTTACTAGTCGATTCATGAATCAACCCATAAGATACATCTGTATGAAGGTAAATTAGTGCAAGTGATGAAGAGTAAGGGGTACTTACAAAGGCAAAACCTGAAGTGATTGGTTCAGAAGAGACCAAGGCATAGTCACCCGGGTACTTGCTAAGAAACATCTTGATGTATGGAATTTCATCAACAATGGCATCAGCATCACCATCTTTTGATAAAGCATGAGCATAATCCTCGTATGAGTAGTATGCCCTCTTCTGATGACCTTCAAAGTGCACGTTCCTGACTGTCACTCCTCCCATAAAAGAGCCTCCATGAAAACCCACAATTCCGCCCTTTGATGCTAATTCAAATTGCTCTACTGTCAACAGTGATGTCAACGTTGCTGTGTAGCTCGTGATCAAGATAAGCACAATGAGTAACCAGATAAACATTACAAATCTTGACAGATTGCTTGACAACTTCTCTCCTACAATACAAATGCAACATACCCACTCTTAGATTTTGATTAGATTCTAATTCAGAAGGTAGAATGATCAGAAAGAGGAACAACTTTGAGCAAAAAAGATGGTCAACAGGATGTGCCAGAAGATTGTTCCAAGTCGATGAGCCGGTGAACATTGGGTTTCTTGATTCATACATTCAATAGCCCAAACAACAAAGCCAGTTAAAATAAGCGAAGCCATAGCAGCTAGCCATAGACCAATATCCAGAGGCTTCAAGAAAAACCACAAGTCTTTTTTCTTGATTCTTACTAATGTTCCTACACCCAAATCCGTGTAAGTCGCTGTAAAGTCAACATACTCAGATCGGTTGGCCAAGATTGTTGAATCACCAACAACTGCATCAATTTCCTGTCGGGAAGCAAAGCCATAGGCTACAAAAATTGGATGTCTCTCTAAGTAAATCAATTGGTTAGTGCTAAATTTAAAGTAAAAAACAAATATACCTCAGCATAGACCTTCTGTACGAGATCATCATAAGTGGCATTCTCAAATGAAATGAATACGTAGGGCACTTCATATGGTAACAAATCAATGCAAGTCTTGAATACATCTACGGAGAACCCAACAGCAGTTGTAACATTTTTCTCAACATCAAAACCTACATCAATGAAGTTCTTAAAAGTTTCTTATCTTCAGAACACCAATTTTTAACCTTTTATTCGGAGTTGTACTTAACATCCGACCTTTTGGAGCAGTTGTAGCTTCGGTACTTAAACTAGAATAGAGATGAATGTTGCTCCTGATTCCTTGTGAATGTGTCCAATATCCTACTCTCTTCTCACCATAATCGATAGCATTCATAATCTCATATCCATTGGATCTTACTTTTCCTTCACTAAGATCAAACTCACCACTTATACCCTTAAATCTTGTTTCCAAAACCTCATGTAAGAGCAAAAGTCCATTATGTGGGACTCCAACTTTCTCAACAGCCAAGGCAAGTGCCCAAATGGTGTCATATGCCCATATGGCAGAAACAGGAACTTCTTTTGTTACCAAGGTAGGGAACTTCCTGTAAAAGAAATTATGCCATCTTAATGTTAAGTTATACAGTCTGCTGGATGCGGGAACATAAGACCTAAAACCTAGCGCCCCTTGTAATGACTCAATAACTTCAAAGTTTGTTGATCGAAAGAGGTCAACTGTCTTTTCAGTCAAAATCCACCCATATTCTTCGCTAATCATTTGTAAACTTTTTGCTTTTAGGAAAAGTTTGGATGCTAGTGAAGGTGACATATGTACAATAATTACAGTTGTGTGAAAAGTCATGAACTTTTTCAACTCTTTAGTGATGTCATCAAGAGTGGCTGACGCTGAAATGGCACTTCTATAACTTATCTGGATGTTTTTATCTTGGAATGACTCAGCCAAATATAGTAAGATCTCGCTCCCATCATCAGTGTCTTCATGAACAAAGATAACATTCCTCCATTTATATGATTCCACAAGGGCAGCAATGCTTTTGGCCATAGTGGATTCTTCTTCTTTGATTTGGAACATGTAAGGGTATTCCTTTGAGGACGAACCAGCAAAAGAAAATATAGGAACTTTAGCTTTATTAGCAAACACAGATAATAGCTTCGACTGAAGATGCGTTTCTGGGCCTATGATGGCTTGCACCTTCACGTTTTTGAGAAGGTCATCTACTGCTCAAGCAAGCATAAAAGAAACAAATTTGAAGACAAATTACTTATCTGAATATAAACTGTTTCAAAATGAGAGTTGCAGGAAAGGGAAAATACATAAAAACACAAAACCCCTATATTATTTTCTCTCTTGTTCCAAAAAAAAAAAAAAAAAAAAAAAAAACGATAAAAACCTGTTAATTAATCGAATTCATTTTAGTGATCTGGTAATTAAATGTGAAGTGGGCGATGCATATGAGTGGCCAATGACATCCCTCTGGCCTTATACAAATTTGATGTAAAATGAGTGGCTGATCTAGAAATAAAATCAGGTGGGTCCACATTAACAATTTTTTCAACACAATAATAAAACTATTAAATCCTAAAAAAATCTAATAGATACCAACAATTATAAAATTGTAAAATCCTAAAAGGATCTAATAAATACCAACAATTAAAGAGAGAATCGTTGTTCTAAAAGTTTTAATTGAATGGAAATAAGGTTTCAAAGCTTAATAGTGGTGAAACAGAGATTTGATTTTAGTAGATATTTTCGGGTATTATTAGTCGTGAGAATCAAGTGGGGCCATGCATACCACTAGCTTGGTTGCATGTAGATCTGCCTCTCGGTAAAACTCGATCACTAGCCATATCGTTATTCACGTAACATATCGAGTTTAACCTCTTGATGGATTATAATTAAGAGGTCAAATTTCCACATCACTTAAATGAAATAGATTAATCGGTTTTTTTTTACCGGAAATTTGGATAAGTCGATTGATAACAAATAAAGTGTCTCTTTCTGAACATGAAAATAATATGAGTTTTTTTTTTCAAATATATATAGTTGCATATATGGTAGGTTGAACTTTTTCTATATTTTGCCCTTAAAGAAAATAAACAAGTGAGCGTACCGGCTGACATAGATTTTACCAGATCTCCTTTGGAGTCCCTAGTGTGAACAACTATCCTTGTTTTGTAACTGTGATTAAGATCATAAAAATCAGATATGGCCATGGTAATGCACTTGTGAATGGACTTTCCTATCCATGACTCCATATCCAGAATGATTCCCATTCCTATTAACATATGATCTCCATTTATGTTGATGTTTTTGCTTTCTGATGGAATGGATTGTGCACATAGTTTATGGTTCAAACAGCAGAAGAGTATTAGAAGGGAAAGGCTGATCTTCTTCTGCTCAACCATCACCATCTTTGCAGATATGTGCTTCTTCCGAACTACTTGTACACAGCTATATTATATGCATATAACGTGCATGAACCATAAACTATACTAATAAAGTATTACAACTGACAATAGCATTGATCTTGCACTTGAATTCTTTATGAACGGATGATAATTAGTTGACAATGATCAGAACCTGAAAATGGAATCTTGAAGGAGTCAAGCCAATCTCTATGTCCCAGCAAATATTAGCCTTTTTTGGTTCAAATAAGTCCAAATGATAATTTCTAAAATCACATGGATAGGAAAAGAAAAAATTAATACCAAAAGTATAAAGCATAAGAAATCACCTATTTTTTTTACAAGGCTTAGTTATCCGTTGATATTGTCGTGATAATTTTTCTACAAGATAGGAAATTGGCCCAATATTAATTAGAAGTCAAGATATATACTCCATTTTTTTTATTTACCATCCTAATGCTTCATCAATGAATTTTCATTTCAGGTCAGAGACTTTCAAATTCGATCACATGTCATGAATTCAAATATACTCCATCGCGTCATTTAATCGTTACAGAAACTTCACATAATATTACAAAATTGTCATACGTCGACAAAGCATAAGAAACAACCGAGAAATTACATGATATGGATATCTTCATTGCTTGATGAATAATTTTTGGCAGTTGACTTGGAACCTAAGTTTGACTTGGTCTAAAAAAATAATTGACCCACTCCAATCATAATTCCATTTTCTCTTTTTTTATTTGGCTGGTCACAAACTTCAGTAGCTACTAGAAAACTAATCCGACTGTCGTATCCGTGTTTATTCCGTCCAAAAGGGCTCAATAGCGACAGAAAAGTTTTCCACTGACAGAAGAATAGCCAGATCAATGAGTTTTGACTAAAATGAAGTTATTGTTATTCAAAAAGTATAGTTTTAAAAATATTTATTTTAGATTTTCTTTTTTATTTTTCAGTTTTTTTTATTTATTATAAATATCAGGTTTTTTTTTTCTTATTTCAGTTTTTAGTATCTTTTTTTATTCGAGTTTTAACTAATTTTTTAATATACATTTAATATAGATGCTTTGACGTTATTTATACAAATTATAAAAACCATTTTGAACATAAAATTTTAACCATCTTAAAATTAAAACTACCATTACACACAACTAGAAAAAAGGTTTTTTCTTGACACACAATGTCTGTTATAAATGTCTATACAAGACAAACAAATGTCTGTCATTGAAAATAATGTCATAAAGGAAAATGACGGACATTTGGCCTGTCATAAAATCACTACAAAAAATAAGCCATTTAGTGGCATACAAAAAGTGTCATTAAAAACTCAAAAAAATGCCACTAAAGGCTTCTCGGCTAATCAGCGACACATATAATAAGTGCCACTAGAAACGCTCCCACTAAAACCCTTTAGTGGTACTTTTTGTTTTTGCCGCTGTAGTTTTTATGCTTTTAGTGACATTTCTTATTTGTCACAATAGAAGAAAAGTTTATTGTGACACATATTTTATGCCACTAAATGCTCATTTGATTCAAGAATTGATGTTACTTTTAGTGGCACTTTTTTATTTTCCATAATACAAAAAAATATTTTGTTGCACTTTTTTATGTGTCAAAAATCATGACAACCCCACTTTTTCTGAAAATGATGAAAGCATCCAATATAATTTAATTATTAAATTAATGTTTCTTATTAGAGCTTAAATTAGTACATATTGTCTTATACATACATATGGTGATACATCTTATGATTTACATGACAACAATAGAAGGCAACTCTGCCTCTACCTCCACCTTCACCTCCAGTTCCGCCTCAGCTCCACCTCCATTTCCGCCTTATTACACCATCTTCCTCCCTATCTATGCTCGTCTATACATAGAAATACAACCGTAAATCTTTTATAGTTACATTGGAGCAATTTTAAATTTTAAATTAATAAAAATAATATGTAACCTTTTAAGTTACCTGTAATGTTATGATAAATAATGAGCAATTTTAAATTTTAAATTATGCTAAGCTTGAACCTTGACATGTGAATAAATTAAAGCAAAACTAAAACCTTATTTGTAATCTTCTCAACTTCATCTATATACATAATGCCCTGTTGAAAATAGATAATATGACTACTACCAAATCAAATAGTTTATTAACTCGTATGGACATTCTTTATCCTTTTTTTAAAGGGATATGGAAAGGAAATATGATGATATTAATATCCATTACTAGTATCTAACCTTAATTTTAGCGAACTATATCATGGACTTGGATGTAGCAAGCATATTTAGTATCTAACAATCACAGAACCACATGTCTGATAAGCAACCTCAAATCAGTCTTCATCGCCATTTCACAACCCATACCTGTAATTCAAAAAAAAACATAAAAGAAGGGATGTGATTCGAATTAAAACAGAGGAAATGAATGCCACACCGGAAAAAAGGAACATTTAAACTCGATTTTTCAAGGAGAATGGTAGTGTAATTTCTTGTTAGGTACCTATGTAATAGAGGGATACTTGATTGAAACAACTAGCACATCATCTGCCCTCATCTTCAAGATCCTCTACGCCTTCATCTTGTTCAGCCCTAACCAACGTCACAACCTTAGTTCTCCTTTCAGCCAACATCGCACGATCATCTTAATCCATGCTATTGTTTGGTTGTGCAATCATCTTTAGATCGACGAAGGAGGGTGAGATATACACAATGCATCCCAGGCTTTGAATCGATCCAAAGAAAGGGTGGGGGTTCGTGATCTATGGTGGCTACAAGACGCATAGAGAGAATAGGTGTGACATGCAATTTTTAGATAGATAAACCCTAATAACGAACTGAAACAAGCCCTCATCTGGTTACGAATCTTTTATTTGATTCGAGTAAAACGTGATTTAAACTTTATAACTATATTTGAATCAAAACAACGAATTACAGGATTCTCCAAGCAGAATTCAACTGTTGATTTGAAATGTATTAAAAAGTAACATAATTAAAGATAAATCATATACCTAGTCGAATGGGGAGTTCTCGTGGGGTTGGAATTCGGAGGAAGAGCGAAGAACTGCTAATCCATGACCATGCTGATGCAACGGGAACGATGGTAACTGGTAGAGCAGGGGCGATGGTGGGAGTTGTTGTATCGATTGTACCGATTGTTCGGATGGTTTCTTGGGAGGGGGAAATTTAATTAGAAAACGAAAGGGGTAAAATTTTCTATTTGTAAAAAATTGATGTGTGTGTATCAGACTATCAGATTCGTATTTTAGGGTATTAAAAACAAAAAAGTACACATCCTAATTAAGAAGGTAAAAATATAAAACATAAGGATAACAAAGTGTAGATCATGGAAAATATGGACCAAAATTGTAATTTCTGTAAAGATTAGGGATCATTTTATAATTTGTTATTATTATTATAATAATTACGTTATATAATTTTTTTTTTCAGAAAATAGAACTTTTAGTGGTACATTAAAACATTATTCCACTAATAATTATGAATTTTAGTGACATAAAATGTTAAATGCCACTAAATCCTCTAATTTTAATAGTGGCTCATAGAATATGCCACTAAAAACATGATATAGTGGCACATCATATATGTGCCATTAAAATTGTATGCCACTAAATGACAGTTAGTTTGTAGTGAATTTACGTCAGACCTTTATCACCTATAATTAAGACATATATACACCACATGCGTTTTTGATATACATTTGTGACTGACTTTATATGTCGTAATTTGTCACACCCCCGAACCAGACGGCGGAAACGTCCGGGGGCTCGTGTGACTAACAATTGAATAATCATCACAATGAATATACATGAATCATAACACGATCATTGCCAACATTACATAATACAACTAACATTGTTCACATCAAGTACATCGTTAACATACATAAGTTCAAATTTTTAAAAGTACGACAAGTGATGTTACATAAAACAAAACCATACACACTTGCAATTCTTCTAGCTTAACGATTATCTGAGAATACAAATTATTTTGAAAACGGTCAACATATATTATGTTGGTGAGTTCATAAGTATGTTTGATTGAAAAGTTTTGTATAGTTCGTAAAGCACCAGAAAATCCGATATTTTTTGTAAAATGTTTGAAAATGTTGTGAAAATCAAGTATAAATGCATGTGTAAATTTCATAATTATAACTTATAAGAGTGAAGTTTAGATTCGTTGTATTGTGAATAAATGATAAATGTATATGAATAATTTCCCCCAGAAAATCCGATATTTTCTGTTTTGTAAGAATGTCTAGATTCTTGTATCGTTGAATAGTTTGTTTTGCATTGACACAATCGAAGAGTTTATCTTCGAAAGGTTAAACTTTTGGTATTGAATCCTTATATGAGCCGTTATAACCATGCATGATAATGACTAGGTCGCCCATCTTGGTATTTTTCCAAATGTCGGTCTTGCTAAGGATTTTGTCGACCTAGACTGGCCTAGTCTAGCTGTAGAAAACAGCTAAGGCGTGGGGGGTCACCCCGTATAGATCTATACACAAACTCTCGCTTTCCTACCAGGAAACTCTGATTATAACTACAAGCTATGATTGCACACTCAGTGGTGCCAACCGACAAGTGTCACTAGATTCTCAACCTCTTTTAGTACTATGTTTAATGTTTACGTATATGTGATATGTTTTTGTATTCGAAAGGTACATGAATAAGTTTACGAAGTTTAATGATTATGTAAAGGTATTGTTACGGCTTACTAACATATGAAATTTCCATTCCAAGCCCTATTAGTATGAAATTAGGCCACAAATGCCCAATCACATGTAAAAGGGTAATTTAGGCCCAATATGCATGTAAATGGGCCACAAAGCCCAATAAACATGTAATCCATAACTTAGGCCCAAATTAACATGTAAGTGGGTCGCAAAATCCAATAAACATGTAATGGAAAACATTGGGCTCAATACACACTTAATTGGGCCCTTAGGGCCCAATGGCCAAGAAATGTGAATATTAGGCCCAATAAAT